CGAATTGCAACGGCTAGGGTTTTTGAAACCACTGGTGTGGATTTCGCCGACCCACTCTACGTAAAGACTGATGGAGACGACATCCGTAAAAAGGTCTACATAATGCTGTTTACTTGCGCAGCAATTCGCGCGGTGCACTTGGAGTTAGTTGCTGACATGACCGTTAATAGCTGTATCGAGGCTTTGCGGAGGTTTATAGCAAGGCGCGGTACACCCAAAATCATAATCTCCGATAATGCTAGAACATTTAAAAGAGCGGACCTGGAGCTCCGAAAACTTGAAGAACTGGTGAAAAAGAAGGAGGTATTACAGCTGGCTGCACATAAAGGTATCACATGGAGATACATCCCTGAGAGAGCGGCATGGTGGGGCGGTTTTTGGGAACGCCTGGTGCGGTCGGTCAAAAACGCTTTAAAAGCATCAATTGGCAGAGCGGTGCTAACATCAGAGGAGCTTAGAACATTACTTACCGAAGTCGAGAGTGTAGTAAATGCCAGGCCGCTAACTTATATTACCAATGACGATAAGGACTTGGAGCAACTTACACCGTCGAATTTTCTAATCGACTGCAATTCAGCTATTTTGCCTACAGATTTTCAATCTGACGGGTCGACGATTTCACAAGCCTGGACGCTACGTCAAGCTTTACTGCGGCGCTATATGAAGAGGTGGCGCGAAGAATATCTGCAACAACTTCGCTCCATTCATCACAACAAGAGCGCAGCGTCACGCAGGATAGGGATTGGTGACGTAGTTTTGGTGAAAGATGACAACAAACCTCGACTTCAGTGGAAGCTAGCAGTCGTGCAGACGACGTACCAAGGACGAGACGGGCGTATTAGAGTATGTGACGTACGAACGCAAGGTCAGCAAGTGCTTAAGAGGCCAATTCAGTTACTCTACCCTCTGGAAATTTCATCATCGATTGCCGGGCCCGAGGATGTTGAAAATTGATGATCGTTGGCAACAATCATTTGTTCCTATTTATCACTTTGTTGTCTTTTACACTTTATTTACTCACAATTACACTTACACACATTCACACTTCTAATGTTGAATTCTCTTCATAAATGAATTGTACTGAAACTGAATTTAGTATTAAACCACAAGCCGAAACTGTCGCAAGACCGGGCGAAATCTAAAAGCGTATTTCAATTAATTTTTACAAGTACCCTTTTAATAAGTTGTATAGCAATCATAAACAATAACCGTACGCGGTTGGGGTTTGCGCACAAAATATGTACAGGTATATATAAAAATTTAGTTCGCTTTAATTAGCAAAAGAGTAAAGGGTTTTTGCACACGAGCACTGCAGCCGGTGAAATATCAAAAACGAATAGTAAATATGTAATAACAGCTGTCAAAAAATGCAAAGCATATATATACATACAATTGTGTATACAGCGAGTTGGTAGCGAGCGAGTTGGGCATGCGTTGCCAACAACTTCTAAGAAAAGCTTACAAAGTGTGCACACTAGAGGTAGTTCAAAGTACAAATTCAAGAGATACAAAGTTCAAGAGATACAAAATTCAAAAGGAAATCTAGTGTGCATAGCTAGCTACAAATTGAGTTATTTAAATATTGCCTCGTGAACCAAAATTTTGTTAGACTTGTCCCGATATCTAGCAGTCTGGAATCCATTTGCCGCGAATCGGACTTTACGGTTCTTTCCGGTTGGCTGGTGTTTGAGGTGCTTGTAGCGCGGTGATGTACGCCCTGATCCCCCACGCTGGGGAGCGTTATTCTTCGCCTGGACGAGGCGTTTGGGGAGCTGCACTGCGGAGTTCGCCCTCGTGCGGCGGGCTGCCGGTGTACCATTTCTGTGCAGTAAGGTGTGGTACTGTAGAGAACAAATGCGGCAGGTGGTAGTGGACGTACATTGGGCGGTCGGATGCCAAAGCGCCAGGTAGTTCGTGCAGTACTTGTGCACCCTTGCCAGTAAGAACCGCTGATGCGGCTGTACGCCTAAGAACGCTGCGCATACTCGTAACGCATGATGCCGGGCGCGTAATCGGCATCGCTTGTAGTCCTCTGTTTGCTGTGGCGATGAACGCGTATTGCGGGTCGTTTCAATCTGCGATTTTATCAATTTTCGCGGGGCTGGCTGAGGTGTCTCGTCGCGATCCATCTGTAAAGAGATTATATACGGAAATCTTTAGTGTTTCGTATATTACTATATGGGAGGCATAGGAGAGCGATACGAGAAGTGTGTATGTATGTGTGATGTATGAAAGAGATGTGCAGCCATTTGGCTGCTTATCATTTGATGGTTTTATGGAGTGGTTAATTGGTTTCAATGCGAGAGGGGGTGTCTTCGCTCGAAGGCAGAACACTATTTTTACTAATGGCCGAGTAGGCCGGTTTGGGTGCGGACGTCGGCCACTCGAATGTCACCATCCTTGCGAGGGTGCAACCTTTCGAGCGAGAGGTTTTCGTGATTCGATTCGGGGAATGATAGGAGTGGAGCACCCCGGAGGAAGTGGGCAGGTGAGAGCGCTGTAAAGTCCGTCGGGTCTTGGGTGAGTGCAGATATCGGACGAGAATTTAATACAGCTTCTACTCTTATTAAAAGGGTAGTAAACTCCTCACACGTAAATTTGTGAGGCCCGGCGGTCCTTCTGAAGTGAAGTTTAAAACTTTTAACTGCAGATTCCCATAAACCACCCATGTACGGGGCGCTGGGAGGGATAAACTGCCAATTAATACCCTGAGGTGAGTATTTTCGGACAATATCACGGAATACAGTTTGGAGAAAGACCGAGAACTCCTTTCCAGTGGCTCTTTTGGCTCCCACAAAGGTTTTGCCATTGTCACTCATCATTTTAGCGGGGTAACCACGGCGACCAACAAAACGAGCAAAGGCGGCGAGAAATGCCTCTTTGGTCAGGTCTGAGCACAGCTCGAGGTGTACCGCCTTTGTTGTGAAGCACACAAAGACGGCCACATAGCCTTACACTAAAGCGGGGGATCTTAGCATGGAGGCTTTTATTTGAAAACCCCCAGCAAAGTCGACACCGGCGGTGGTGAAGGGCGGAGCGAAGGTGCATCGTTAAGGCGGCAGTGCAGCCATAATCTGCGAGCGCATTTGCTGTTTGTGAATGGTGCATGATTTACAATGGTAAATGCATTTTTTTATGAGAGGTTTGAGCTTGAATGAGTTTGAGTGTAAAACTCTTGCCTGGTCATCTGCTGCATAAGTCGTACTTCTGCATGGAGGAGTAGATCATGGAGAAACTTTAAAGAGAATCGGGACTTTTCCGGAATGATAATGGGATGACGTTCGTTATAGCTCAGGGTAGCATGAGCAAGGCGCCCATTGACGCGGAGAACTCCATGTTTATCCAAGAAGGGTTAAGAACTAATAGTGAACTCTTTTTGTCAATAGGTTTTGAGTCATCTAAGAGAAGTAACGGGTTTGCGTAAGGATGATCAGACGAATTTTCGTGTGGCGGAGGTCATCATGTGATAGCGGGGATGAGGCGCGGTCAGGATCTCCTGCCGCTTTGTCCTTTATTCGTCTCATGAACTTGAAGACGTAAGCCATCACTCTCAAGGCTCGAGAGAAAGAGGAAAACCTGTCCAGAACGTCGGGATCTTCGGTAGTGAGTAGGACCTCCACTCGTCCTACTTCCGGCGTGTTGACATTACGAACTGAGGGTTTCGGCCATTCTTCGGGGGACTTGGATAGCTACTCAGGACCGTTCCACCATAACGAACACGCTGCTAAGTCTAGTGGCTTGCAACCCCTTGTGCCCATATCTGCGGGGTTGTCGCTGCTGCGTACATGTCGCCAGGTGGCGTTTCCGATGAGTTCCAAGATCTCCGCGGTGCGATTAGAAACGAACGGTTTCCAATAGTGGGGTGGTTTCCTCAGCCATGCCAATATAATTTCTGAGTCGGACCACATTACCAGTCTTCGTTTGAAGAGGTCGAGATGGGACTGGATAGCTGCGACAAGTTTGGCTAAGAGAAGAGCTCCACAGAGCTCAAGCCGGGGTAAGCTAGTTGTTCGAAGGGGTGCTACCTTGCCTTTGGAAACCAGGAAGATGAGAAGAGACACTGGAACCATGAGTAGTTCGAACATATACGTTAGCACAATATGCCTTTTCTGAGGCGTCGCAGAATCCATGGAGTTCAACATGCTGGTCCGGAACAAAGTTTACCCATCGGGGTATTTGAATGGTCGAGATTGTGTGCGAACTTAGACCATTTAACAAGAGGGAAGGGTTTGACTTTTTCGTCCCAGTCAGTTCCGTCGATCCAGAGCTCTTGTAAGAGAATCTTTGCCTGGATCATTATCGGCGTAAGCCACCCTGCGGGGTCAAAAAGTTTCGCGACAGAGGAGAGAATCTGTCGTTTAGTGCTAGCAGATGAGGCTGGGTTGGTGTCGATCGTAAAGGAAAACGTGTTTGTGAGCGCATTCCATTGGATCCCTAGAGTCTTTGTGGTACTTGCTTTTTCGAACTCGAGAAAATTAGTATCGAGAAAGTGCTCTTTCCTTATGTTTTTGAGAATTTCTGGGTGGTTCGCTGTTATTTTCTTCAAGGGAAAGCCTGCCGAGTTGCGAGATTGAGTGGCGATTGTCAGATCGTGGCTTCCAGAGAGTATGTCATCCACATACGTTTCTTTAATCAGAATGGGGGCGGCCATTGGGTAGTTGGTTTTTTCTTCTTGTGCTAATTGGTGAAGTGTGCGAATGGGGAGGTAGGCCGCACAGTTTATACCGAATGTGACCGTTTTTAATTTATAATCTTGAACGGGACTGGTTGTGGGTGAACGAAATATTATTCTTTGAGCATCCGCACACTCGACTGCTCAGTCCGCCTAAAACCGGTTTTGCGTGGATAAGAGGGGGAAGAGAGTTCGAGTTTACCTCTTTCATTTGGACATAGACAACGTGTTTTGTATTTCGTTATGTTTGCATGTGTCACATGCACTAACACAATCAAGCGTAGTTAATGTATACAAAACTGAAACCTGTTTTCGGCC